ACGAAAAACAAACCAAATAAAATAAAATTCTCATGATGGCCCTGCATCTTTACCTCGCGACCCATATGTGATGAAATCAGAGTATTTTTAGCTGGGGTTTTTGTCTTCAAAGCTGGCAAATCAGCCTCTTCTAGATTGTTTCTTCATTGGAACCCAGGGTCCATGCAAGAGGTACACAGTCCTCCACAGCAGGGACTCTGCTCTGTGAGGGCTCAGAGCAGAGACCTTCCCTCCCTCTCAGGCTCCTGTGCTCAGATTAGGCTGAGGCTCACTGTGTTCAGGGAGAAGACACCAAAACGTGAGATGCTTTTGTGAGAAACATCCCAGGAGGAATTCCAGACACAGAGCTGGCCTGGCACACTTGCTGGGTGCCTGGACCTACAGTTGTGATGTCAGGGAGAAGGCGAGGAAAATGCTGAGCCTGCTCCAGGGAAGTCGGGTGAAGTAGGTCCTGTGGATGTGACTTTCCTAAAGCTGATCTCACTCAGGCCTCATGGGAACTCCTGTGAGTGGGTGTTCCTGAGCCCACAGGTACAGATGTGAGTTTTTCTCTCCTCTTATATCTCAGTGGACCTTTCCAGCTAGACAACGTGTAGGAGAGGTTCAGTGGAATATGAGGGACCAGAAGCTCCCCAATATGTGCATGAAGTAAATCCACGCTGTGAAGCTCTCTAGAAGGACCCAAACCATCTTCTGTAATAACACAAACGTTGTAGGTTGTCATGGAAACCCCAAAACCAAGGACTTCGAGGCAGAGCCCCTAAGTTTGTGACCTAGAACAGCAGTGATGGGCCTTCAGGGGGTCCAGACCAAACTCCAGATCTGCGTCTGTCATCCTAACCTCCTGAACCAGCATGATGATGAGGTTGATTGTCACTGTCAAACAGCTGCACTCAACCTCCATGCCACTCCAAGTCTGCGAGGAGTGAGACAAGTATCTGCCCTCCACTCCGCAGTCTCACCTAACTCTCTTCTGGCACTGCCTGTGGTCAACAGCAGCCCAGGGTTTGGCTTCTGCTGTCACTTGTGCAACTAAAACCAGAGAGACTGATGCTTTTGTGTCATTCTAAATTTATCAATGCAATGAAAACAACCCATTTAACTACTCATTTTCCAATGTAAGAAAATCACTTTGTCACTAGAACTTACAATCACACCTCCCTGCCTCATGCTGGGTAGGATGACGTGGAGAAGAGAAGTCCAGCCAGTGTGACCCCGGAGACCCAGGGCCTCATCTGCTCAGTCCCATACACGTCCCATGAGCCTGGCCCTGGCTTTGCCGATCATTCTCTGAGCTCTGGAACCTTCCCAAAATGGGTTTCTCTTCTTCTCCTCAGATCGCATCCTCGAGGAACTCCTGGATCCCAGGTGCAGGAGAGGACTCTTACCGTCAATGACCTGGCTCTCAGGCCCATCACCTCCTCCCTTTCCCCAGTTTAATCCAGTGAATCTTAATTGTTTTGCATCTATAGTTGTTTTTTGTTTATTTTTTGGGTGGCGAGAGGATATTTGAAGGCACCTTAGTTTTTGGGGATCTAGAGTCTATGAACCAACCCTCATTATCACAGAGAACCCTGATATTACAGGAAAATTTCCAGAAAGCCCTGTTCTTTCTTCAATGTCAGAATATGGAGCAGTTGCCAAATAAACCAGATCAGGGCCCAGTATGGGTTGGGTGATAGATCTTGGATGCCACCAAGTCAAGGAAGGAGGATGAATCTCAGAAAAAGACAAATGTTCGTAGTAATGTTTTACTCACCCATCTTCTGACTGAAAATAATGATAAAACTAGACTAAAATAGTAAAAACAACCCTAAATATATCCTAGATTCAGAAGACAAAAGAGTAAATCTCCAGAACAGCAACAAAGGGCAAATGAGCCCAGAGAGGTCAGCAGGAGGTAGGACACGATTTCCCTGATGGCGCTGTATTCTAGTGGCCAAGGGAGACATCATCTGGCAGTACTTGTGCACTGGGGTGAGGGGTCTAACAGGAGTCCCTCACAACGATAGCAACAACACTAACAGTGACAACAACATAAGTCAGCCTGCCAGGGTATCCCATATAGATTTTTGGTCCTCATGAACCAAGAAGGTTCATTGCAGGATTTTAGGTCTTGAACTTGGTTTAAGATGGTCCTACACTAATAGAGACCCCAGGCACTGGCAGAAGCAAAGTTAAATGTCAGTTAATCCTGAAATATCGGGCAACATCAGGACTGTGCAATACATCCTTCTATTTAGCAGCCTGGAGGTCATTAGTTATCTGGAGACATTTAATATCTCAGCCTGTGTCTCCAATAAGAGACCTACTCATTGAATGATTCTGATACTGACATCACAGAGATCCACATGCAAAATAAGGACGCCCTCCAGGAGAGCTGAGTGAAGCCAGAGGGGCTCATGGACCCTGGATCTGAGACCAGCAGGGGTGTTGTTGGGCAGGTCCAGAGATGGCAGTGTCCTGGGCAAGGCAGGCACAGAGAATGCTCTACTGGCTCTTGCAGTATTTGGGCAAACAGTGTCCTCACTGAAGTGCGGCTCTTCTGTACCCTTGTTTGTTTGCATGGTCAAAAACAAGAGTCTCATGCCCACTACAGAGAACATGGTCTATAACATGTGGCCACATCCTCCCAATTTGTGCTCAAGAGTCTGTATGTGAAGGCAATATGTTATCTGATTGTGTCACATTTATCAGATATTTCTCAATTTCAGCAGTGGGCTGCCATAACGACAGAGTCCATGTTGGGAGAGAGAAAAACCTGGGACACACACAGAGTCCAGGCGAGTCTGACTCAGGATAGGCCACTATTCAGTGGTCCATCCATCTGCACGATTTACTGAACAGCAATTATTGGCTGGGCTTGGATGGGGGATAGGAGCCATTAGAGGATTTGACCAGGAAGATAAGGAATCTGATTAACTTTAAGTCCAGCTGTTCATAGAAGATGAGTGAGGAGGAGCTGAGAGAGAAAGCAGGAGCCTGGTGGGGTTTGTGGATTTGGTACAAAGATCAGACTAGAGTCCTGGATGCGGGATGGAGCAGGTGAGGTGGAGAAGGTTGATCAGACGCTGCATGTGTTTTGGAGGTGAGGAAGGGGATGGATGAAAGGGGTTTGGAGGGTAGTCCTTGGGGACTGGGTAAAATGTGAGTGAGTTGTACCTCCTGGATGACGGTCTATGGACACAGGTGTGGGGTTGAGGTCCTGAGCTCATCCTTGTGATGGAAATATAGTCGACAGCCTTCCTGCTTGTTCAGTGGTGACAGGAATGTTGTAGTTGTGAACTGAGTAATCTCAATGGACTTCACTCCTTCTCTGAGATTTGTTTGACTTGTCCATTCCCCATGATCTCTCATGTCTCCAGGCTGATATCCCACATGGGTCAAAAATGTCCCTGCAGTCCCAGGCATCACACCCACACCATAAACCCTCCTGAATGAGAGTTGCCCTCCCTGATCCATTGAAGAGGAATCTCAGACTTCGCGAGGACTGGACCAGATCACCCACACCATCTCCCCTGACTCCATCATGGTGAGCAGGGAGGGGATTGTCTGATTGGTTTGGAAAATGAAAGGCCTGTCCCTGGAGCTGGAACTGGGGTAAATCACATGCTCACCACATGACTGGGAGATTTGCGGTCTGAGAGGAGAGGAAATGACAGAAGTTTTCCCTTCTTGGTCCCAGCATGCGCATCATCTGCTCTCAACCATTGTAATTCGTTCATGTTGGGTCTTCTACTGTGCACACTGGGAGCTGGGCAGGGGACACAGGCCAGGGGCACCTGTCTCATAACACTCTGCTTCTGGTGCCCTAATCTTTCTAATGTTCTGCAAAGGGTCATTCTCAGGAGCAATGACACCCACTGCAATCAGTGAGGTCCCGGTGTGAAATTCAATAGTCCCTGGAGAGATAGAAAGGAGCAAAACTCCTTCATGAGGAGATCATCTTCCCAGAGGGGGTGAGAAGGGCGATTTCATCTCAAGAACCCACACTAGTGGCCACTGCCTGCCATCCCCTTGGCTCCTCCCCTGTAACTGCCTCCTCTCTCAGGTGAGGAACAGTCCCAGAGGCCCAGCTCACGGATGTCTAGAGACACACTCCAGTCCAGATGCCTTGTGTCCCATTCCCCAAGCAAGTGATTCCTCAGGTTACTGAGGGCTCATTCTTGAGATTCTCCATCTCACAGGGCCCAGGTCTCAGGTGCTCTGTCCCAGTTACCTTCCTCTTCTGTGTCTTGGAGCTGGGAACAGAGTGAGCCTGACTCAAAACAGTGAACACCTGACTCTCATACAAGTAGAGAATGAGCCATGTAAAATATTCTATTCAACTCATGCATTAGTGAGGAGACCAGTAAACAGTAATGATTGGTCAAAGAGCATAGCAAAAACCAAAGTACTTACATTCCACCAAGAATAGGACATTTGGGGCAAAGTCTTTGAGTGTTGGAGACACACCGCTAAATCCCTAACAGGGAGGGATCACATACGAGGACAGAATCTGTGTCCTGCACAGAAGGAGACCTGCCTCCATGGGGCCGGTCACTGCTCTGCACTTGATCCTGATCTAACAGGAGTTTGTATACGAGACACGCCCTCAGTCCTCACCACTGAACAGCTAAAGGAGTTGTGGACAGACTCACTCCTGAAGAGTCTGAGTAGAGACTGACCTGTGGGGATGTGGAGGCTACACAGGGGCCACCTGGCCTGACCCTAACGCAGGGGGACAGTGGACAGAGCAGTGGGGATGGGGGAACTGTCTACTGGGCTTCGGTCACCCTGAAACACAATAGTCAGTCTGGGCCTGGACACCAGGGGGCGCTCAGGGCTCAGTCCTCAGCTTTCCGTGAGGGTTCACAGCTGGGACCAGCCACCTAGCACTGCCTGGTGCCCTCTGCTCAGGGCTCACAGCTGTGAACGCCCCACCCCAGGGCCACCCTTAGGAAGTGGCACCTGAGCAAAGGCCAAGTGAGAGATCAGAAAGCGGGGGCTCTGATTTGCATGTGTGGCCCCTCCCTCTCTCAGAGTATGAAGAAGGGGTGGGAGAGATCAGGGGGAAGCTCTGCTTCAGCTGTGGGGCCACAGAAGGCAGGACTCGGTGAAGATCTCCACCATGGCCTGGTCCCCTCTCCTCCTCACCCTCATCGCTCTCTGCACAGGTGACTAGATATGGGGACAAGGGAAGGGGCCTTGGGAAGATGCGTGGGACCCTGCTTTCTCCCTTTGTCTCTAGTCCAGTGAATCACCATGTCTGTGTCTCTCTCACTTCCAGGATCCTGGGCCCAGTCTCTGACTCAGCCCGCCTCAGTGTCTGGGACCCTGGGCCAGACAGTCACCATCTCCTGCACTGGAAGCAGCTCCAGCATAGGTTCTTATATGGGCTGGTACCAACAGATCCCAGGGACAGCCCCCAAAACCCTCATCTATGCTACTAACAAACGAGCCTCAGGGGTCCCAGATCGATTCTCTGGCTCCAAGTCTGGCAACACAGCCACCCTGACCATCTCTGGGCTTCAGGCTGAGGACGAGGCCGATTATTACTGTGGTTCCTATTACAGCAGTGATAGTAGTGACACAGTGATGCAGGCCAGTAGGGAAGTGAGACAAAAACCTGCTGTGCCCTCAGCCATGGGGCTTCCCTGTGTAGCCCCCACTCCTCGGCCATGTCAGCTGCTTCCTTTGTTTGTGTGGCCAAAAGCAGCTCTGAGACTCAGTTCAGGGAACTTTCTCTTGAACATGTGTGCTCATGCTCTCAACGTCTGCCCCCACAACTTGTCCTTGGTTTCAATCCATTTTCTGTTTTTCTCTAATCGAGCAGACATTCCTGGATGCTGGGGCAGGCTGCCCTGGGGACAGAGTCCACCAGGGGTGTGTGAGTCTGCCAGGGCTGCCATAACATAATACCACAGATGGGGCAGATTAACCAACAAACATGTGTTTCCTCACAGTTCTGCAGGCTGGAAGTCCAAGATCAAGGTGCTGGCAGGTTTGGTTTCTCCTTGGCTTGCAGAAGGCTGGGTCCTTGCTGTGTCCTCACAGGGCCTTTTCTCTGTGCACTCACCCCTGGTTTTCTTCCTCTTCTTATAAACACACCAGCCCCACTTGTTAGGGCACCACCCTTATGACCTAATTACCTTAATTACCTCCCTTAATTCCTTATCTCCTAAGACTGTCACTACAGGGTTAGGGTCTCAGCATAGGGTTTTGAGGGACACAGTTCAGCCCATTTCAAGGAGTCATGGCAGAAACAGGGAAACATAGTCCAGCTGTGTTTGACTCAGGCTAGTTGACTCTCCAGATTATGTGCATCCACACTATTTACTGAACACCTACCATGGGTCAGACTTGGGTGTAGAGGCTCAGGATAGTAGGTGGACAAGACAGGAAGGGTCTCCATGCTCAGGGTGGTGACACTGTCTGGGGGAAGAGAGAGTACAAAGGAGCAAAAGACGCTGTACAGCATAGATGTCCTGGGAGAGTGAGGAGGGGTGAGCTTGGTGGGATGGAGATGGTAGCATTAGAGGGGTTGTCAGGGGAGCAACAGAATCCGATTTGTTTATGAGGCCCAAGTGCTGCATAGAAACTGAAGGAGGAGGAGGTTTGGATGTAGGTAGGGACTAGGTAGGAACTGGGGACCATACAACTGTTAGACGATGGGTCTGGTTAATGGGTGGAGCAGGTGGGATAGAGAAGAAAATTCAGATAACCAATGGCTTAGAGGAAGGAGGGATGGAAGGATGGGGTTGGGAAAAAGAGGGACTGAGGCTGGGCTGTTGGGAGCAGTGTGGGTGGTGGGTGAGTCAATCAAGTCAGACAATGTGATGGCGCCATGTAATTGAGGCTGGATTATTTGATGCTCACATTTTCAAGAGATATGATCAGCTCTGACAAATGGGACTACTTGTTAGGAATTCTAGTAATGCACATCTCTAGTTTACTCTCGTCTTACATTTGATGAAAACTTCACCTGTGCCTGTTCAATTTCAGCATGTTTTTAGAGGGAAAGTACATGAAGGATGAACTTAGTCCCTTTGTTCTCAATGCTGCCCTCATATTAGAAACTTTCCAGTTAGTAAAAGCCAGAAAGTGACACTCTCTACCAGATTACTTAATCTGAACCTCATTAGTGGGATTCTGTAACGGGTTCATGTTTAAATGCTTCTAGAGGGTTACTTTATGCAAAATGCATTGATAATGCCTACTTGGCTTCCCTTCTCATTTACTTGAGGAAGAAAATTGGCCAACAAGACAGGACAGGTTGAAGACGCCAAGACTTGGCTCCAGATGGGACCTCAGGCCTCAGAGCAGGGGGTCTGCTCTCCCACCAGGCAAGGTCAAGGCACATGGTCCACACATCTTGATACCAGTCATCCCCTGTGGGGACTGGAAGGCTGTGTTGGGAAGCAGGTGTTAGGATGGGGTCATGTCCCAGGCCGGCAGAGTCTAGTAGGAGAAATCAAGAAAACTCTCGTAGAAACCAAAGAGTGATGGATGCAACTAAAGGAAGACAACCCCTCAGCACAGTGATTAGGAGGACTTGGGCAATGCTTTACCCTAGAATAAAGAGAAAATAGTGGATGGACGGGTGTGGCTCCCTCCTGGGCACTGGGCAGTTTCCTTGTTGGGCAGGGTTGGCCCTGGGCCAGATCTGATAAGAGCTGTACTGAGACAGAAGTGTGCTTCAGCGTCCAGAACTGGTGCCTGTCCCAAGGCCTGCTTCTTGGGACTTTGATGGGCATGTTCCCAGCCCATTTCCTGGGCAGGCAGGAGTGCCCACAGAGCAGTCTGCACAGGGCTGGGGCCAGGGCACAGAGCTGCCTCCAGATTCCCAGTCAGAATGAGGACAGCAGGACTGCCTCCAGGGGCACTGATGGGCATGTGTCTTGTCTGCTGCCTGGATGGGCAGGATTGCTCCTGTACTGTGGCTAAGAGGGGCTGGAACTGGATCACTGGCTGCTTCCCGGTTCACAGCCAGGGACAAGGTTGTCAGGGCTGCTAACTGAGGCATGGGTGGGTGTGACTCCTGCTGGGTCTCTGGCCAAGTGGTGCAGGTGGCAGGAAGAAGGCAATAAAGTGATTTGCCTTGTCCCCAGGGGGATGATGTAGTTCTGGGCCTGTTGCCAGGACCCCCTGACCACGGGCCTGCCTTCTCAGACACCATTCCTCAGCCTTGGGTTCCGTCAGGATTTCACAGTCTCCTACCTGGGTCCAGAAGCTCCCAAAAAGGCACTTTTGTCAATGGATGGCCACCAAATCATGGTTGCTGAGTGGGGACACGAGTGGAGGACCTCCTATTCCATCATCTTGCTGAGGTCACTCGCCTGTCAAGGAATATTCTAAAATTTTAGGTAACTTATTTATTATTTTGTTCTCTTATGGTTAGTAATTTTTGTGTTCAATCTAAGATGTCTTTGTCTATTCCAAGGACATGATATGTTACTATATTTTTTCTTAGAACTTTTATGATTTTAGCTTTTATATTTATGACTATGATTCAAATCAAATTGAGTTTTACCTATGGGATGAGGCAGTGGTCAGTGTTCGCTATTTTCATACCAATGGTTTGTGGTCCATTAACGAAAAACCAGTGATTATTTCAACAGAAAAAATTTGATAAAAAGTCGAATCTTGTTTGTGATTTTGAAACAATCTCTCAGGAAACTGGAATCAACGGGAAGTCCCATTTCCTGATGGAAGACAGAAAAATAAATAAGTCAACTAAAGTAATTATTCTGAGTCATTTTATATTAGAATTTCTCCATTCAAAACGGAGATAAAACAAACATCATGTGTCAAAGAAGCGATGTCTTAGAATTGCTGAGAGCAGTGCCCTGGGTACTGCAGTGGATGTTCTAGATTGTGAGCTGCTCCACAGGCAGGGAAGCCCTTGTCTGTCACAGTTTTCAAATGAAATGCTCATGAGGAACAATTCTCCAGGTTCTGTAATGAGTCACATCTTTACAGATTCTCATATAAAGATGTTCTTGAATTCAAATGCTACAAAATCTCTTCTTACAACGGTTTATCCTGGATGTCTGACG